TCTCCATATAAGAACATGTCATCTGTGAAGAGTGTTACTTCTTTTTCTCCAATCTGGATGCTGTCTTAGTCTGTTTTGTGCTGCTGTCACAGAATACCAAAAACTGGGCATTTTACAATGAACACAAATTTATTGGCTGATAGTTCTGGAGCCTGAGAAGTCCAAGATTGAGGGGCTGGTGTCTGGCTTCTTCCTGCATCATCCCATGGTAGAAGGGCAAAGAAAAGGTGAGAGAGAGCAGGAGCTCAATTTTGCAGACTCCAGACCTTTTTTTTTTTTGAGACGGAGTTTCGCTCTTGTTACCCAGGCTGGAGTGCAATGGCGCAATCTCGGCTCACCGTAACCTCCGCCTCCTGGGTTCAGGCAATTCTCCTGCCTCAGCCTCCTGAGTAGCTGGGATTACAGGCACACGCCACCACACCCAGCTAATTTTTTGTATCTTTAGTAGAGACAGGGTTTCACCATGTTGACCAGGATGGTCTCGATATCTTGACCGCGTGATCCACCTGCCTCGGCCTCCCAAAGTGCTGGGATTACAGGCTTGAGCCACCGCGCCCGGCCAACTCCAGACCTTTTATACTTGGCATTAATTCATTCATGAAGGTGGAGCCCTTACGACCTAAACACCTCCCAACACCACTGCACTGAAATTTCTAACACAAGCCTTTTGGGGGACACGTTAAAATGACAGCAGATGCCTTTCATGCTTTTCTTGTCTGATTTCTCTGGTTAGAAATTCCAGTACTGCACTGAGTAGCAGTGGGAAGGTAAGCATCCTTGTCTTGTTCCTGATTTAAGGGTGAAGCTTTCAGTTCCTTACCACTATGACGTTAGCTGCAGGTCTGTCGTAAACGCCTTTTATTACGTTGAGGAAATTCTTCTATTGCTATTTTATTGAGAGTTTTGTTTTTAATCATGGAAGGATGTTAAAGGCCTTTTCTGTATCTATTGAGATAATTGTGTTATTTCTTCTCTTTTTTCTTTCCTTTTCTTTTGAGACAGATTCTTGCCAGGCGTGGTGGCTTATGCCTGTAATCCCGGCACTTTGGGAGGCCGAGGTGGGCAGATCATCTGAGGTCCAGGTTCAAGACCAGCCTGACCAAAATGGAGAAACCCTGTCTCTACTGAAAATACAAAATTAGACGGGTGTGGTGGCGCATGCCAGTAATGCCAGCTACTTGGGAGGCTGAGGCAGGAGAACTGCTTGAACCCAGGAGGCAGAGGTTGCCAAAATCGTATCATTGTACTCCAACCCGGGCAATAAGAGTGAAACTACATCTCAGAAAAAAAAAAAAAAAAAAAGAGACTGGGTCTCATTGTTACAGGCTGGAGTGCAGTGGTATGATCATAGCTCACTGGATTTGTGGACTCAAGTGATCCTCCAGCCTCAGCCTCCCAAAGTGCTAGAATTGCAAGTGTGAGCCATCACACCTGACCTCAAATTATAATTTTCTAAAAGCTGAAAAAAAACCATAAATATCACAAAATTCTATAAAAATGACTTCCTATCAATAGTTATAGAGCTCTATGACGCATTTTTTGGCTGCATACTCTGATCACTTTTTCATAAGACAATGATTATACAATATCACTCTCTACTGGGGTAATGAAAAGATAATTTCTCTAACAGCGTTGACTCAAATTTGTTTTTATTGAAAATTGAGAAACATTGCAGTGTCTCAACCAATTATTGGTGATTCAATGTCTCCTTTTGTTTGAGACAGGATCTCTTTCTGTCACCCAGGCTGGAGTGCAGTGGGACAAGCACAGCTCACCGTAACTTTGAACTCCTGTGATCTTCCTGCCACAGCCTCCCAAAGTGCTGGGATTACAAGCGTGAGCCACCATACTTGGCCTGTGGCACTAATTTAGTCTTAAAATCAGAAGTGTAAGTCCTCCAGTTTTGTTCTAACAATCTCACTGGCTACCTTCTAGGTCATGTGCATCTCCACACACATTTAAAATTTTTAACTTGTTAATTAGTTCTCTCTGTGTTTTTTAGACAGAACCTCGCTATGTAGCGTAGACCAGTCTCGAACGCCTGAGCTCAAGCGATACTCTTGCCTTAGCCTCCAGAGTTGCTGGGAACAGAACCTGTCAATTTGTTTTTAAAAAGTACTGAAATTATGATTGGAATTGTGTTAGATCTATGGATCAATTAGGGGAGAACTAACATCTTAATATTCCATCTTCCAACCCATGAACAGACTATATCTCTCAGTTACTTTGCTGTCTGTTTCTAATATTTTATAGACCAGTGTACAGGTTTGCACAGATTTTGTTAAATGTATAAGCATTCTAATTTGTAAGGTATTATAAGTGAAATAAATTTCATTTGTTCATGAATTTAAATTTCATTTTCCAATTATCCATTGCTAGTTTTCACAAATCTATTTTTCGTATATTGACCTTGTATCCTGCAACCTTGCTAAATTCGCTAATTCCAGTAGCATTCTGTAGATTCCTTCGAATTCTTTTTTTATAAACAAGACATTTGCAAAAAGTTTTATTTTTTTCCAATTGGAGTGGCTTTTATTTCTTTTTCTTGCTGTAGGACCCCCAGTACAATCCTGAATAGAAATGCCCTTTCCACTGGACACAGGGGCTCATACCTGTAATCCCAGCACTTTGGGAGGCTGAGGCTGGTGGATCACAAAGTCAGGAGTTCAAGACCAGCCTGGCCAACATAGTGAAACCCCATGTCTACTAAAAATACAAAAATTAGCCAGGTGTCCTAGCGGGCACCTGTAGTACCAGCCGCTTGGGAGGCTGAGGCAGGAGAATCGCTCGAACCTGGGAGGCGGAGGTTGCAGTGAGCCAAGATTGTACCACTGCACATGAGCCTGGGCAACAGAGTGAGACTCTGTCTCAAAAAAAAAAAAGTGCCTTTCTTCCCGATCATAGGAAGAAGAGTGTTTGGTCTTTCTCCATTAAGTATCTAATATTAGCTGTGAGTTTTCACAAATGCCCATTATCAAACTGAGGAAGTTCACTTAGAGTTCTACTTTGCTGAGTTTTTCATCATAAATGGTGTATGGATTTAACGTGCTTTTTGATGTGATCATATGGTTTTTCTTTTAGTGTGTTAAGATGGTGAAGAAATTACATAGAGTGATTTTTGAATGTGAAGCCAACATTGTATCCCTGGTTAGATGTCACTGGGTCATGACAGTGCATTTCCCTTTTGTATACTTTCGGGCTTGGTGTACTATTTTGCTAAGGACTTCTGTATTTAGGTTCATGCATGATGCTGGTGTTAGGCTTTTCCTTACTGTCTCCATCGCATTTTGGTATTAGTCTCATAAAGTAACTGCTAATATTCTCTTTTTCTAAAAGAATATTCTGTAGGATTGGTATTATTTCTTACTTAAATGACTGACAGAATTTACTAGTGATGCCTTCTGGGACTGGAGTTTTCCTTGTGAGAAGGTTTTCAATTCAGGGAAATTCAGCTTTTCAATTCTGAGGAAGGCTCTCGCAGAGAAGCTTTCCACTGCCGGAAAACCTGCCAGCCATTCAGGTCACATGTGCTAACTAGAAGTGAAAAGCAATAATTACTACATAATAATTACTAGATATTGGCTGTGATGCTTGACACACACTAGGAAAGCTCAAGTTTCCACCGCCGTGAGTAGCATGTTCCCAGGTTCTTCATTCTTATCCCCTCTGCACAAATACGTTTCCCTCAGCAGACGCTAATCCCTGAAGCTGGAACCATTTCTTGTTTCTGGAGCCCCAGCACCACCCAGCTCAGTGCTGGGCACACTGCAGGCATTCTTTACCTTGCTTGCCAAGGTAAGGACAGTGATCGACACTGCTGCTCATGGTTCTGCACTGACCTCAGGGTAACAGACAAAAAGGTGAGTTTAGGAGGAACTCTTTGACCAGGGAGAAGGGAAGAGATGCCTATAGGTTACCATACCTTTTCTCTCAGTAGCCTAAAGTCAGGGAGATTTAAATAGTAACAGAATTCCTTAAGGACATTTTTAACTCATTGTAGCTTATGTAGGGTTAGGACATGAGGCTCAACTGGAGTTAAAACAGCAGATGGCACTAGAATTTGTACCATAAACACTAGAATCACTCTTCCTCTTTGTGAAGATGGAGGCAACATGACAGAGTACACACTAGACTGGACTTGAGGGCCGTGTGTTTACTAACCTCAGCATCAAATGAAGAAAATGTAAAAACACGACACACCCTGCACAAAATCGTATACAACAGTGAGCCCAGAGAAATGGACAGAGTTATTGCAGATCATGTGGGCAGAAAGATAACAATTCAGCCTCTCTTTGGACTGGAAGTAAATGCCTCAAGGCCACCTTTAGCAAAACAGGTTAATAAAGGATTTCTTCATCCTTCCCACCTTTCTCCATCCCTACCACTCCTTCCCCATATCCTCCTGCCACTCCAGCAAAACCCAATTCACACATGTCCTTCAAAATAAGTCCCTTGGGCCGGGCGCAGTGGCTCATGCCTGTAATCCCAGCACTTTGGGAGGCCAAGGTGGGTGGATCACCTGAGGCTGGGAGTTGAGACTAGCCTCATCAACATGGTGAAACTCCATTTCTACTAAAAGTACAAAAATTAGCCGGGCATGGTGGCACACGTCTGTAATCCTGGCTACTTGGGAGGCTGAGGCATGAGAATCACTTGAATCTGCAAGGTGGAGGTTGCAGTGAGCAGAGATCACGCCACTGTGCTCCAACCTGGATGACAGTGCAAGACTCTGTCTCAAAAAAACAAAAACAAAAAATAAGGCCCCCTTCAAATCTTCCATAACATTTTTATTTTGAAATCTAAAAGAATGAATTTGTAGAATGATTTTCAGCTACTGTGTCAGGCAGATGGGGGAGGTATTTTAAAGCAGAAGAGTCTTTACTTAAGGACCTATTGGTCTCCCCAAACAGATGACTGTCTACTTGTAGGGCCAGACCAATGTCTCAAATTACACTTTCACTTTAAAGCACCTAGGGGTTCAAATAAACTCTCTGAGACACTTTGTTGGTATAGATTTTAAGTTACAAGCTTGATTTGATGCCCTCAAATACAGTTCTTATGCAAGATTAGTAACAAATAGTTGTCAGTACTTTCAAATGACAGAAGAAATTACATTTTCGTAAAACTGGATGAATGTTTTATGTGTGAAATAACAATCCTTTCACCACCAGGTAGAGTTACTCCAGTTCATGCAATAAGTGACTATTACATTTTTTTTTAAATTGCCCTAATTTTTCTAGTTGCAATTTCATGCCTATTTTAAGTCAAAACATCAGTCTGCTCCCGAGGTCAGCTCCCCCTCCCTGGGAAGTGGTGAGGACACCTATAGTTTCTCTGAGACACAACTGGGTCCCTGATTATCGAGGTACGATCTCAACGCTTTAATCTCAGTGGTGTGAAGGTCCCCAGGAGATCTTGGGTTTCAGAAGTGGCTCTGGCTGCCCCTGGGTAAATATCACACCAGAGGTTATACAGGATAGTGACCCAAGAGGTGAACAGGAGGGAAGTTTCAACTTATTTTGACATAAAATTGGCAAAAATAAGCATCACCAAGTATCTGTAACTAGAAATTGAGGATGAAACAGAAGAGGTTTGTCTATGATGAGAACGACCGTCACAGTAGAACTTGTGAACAGCTTTTTATAGAACCACTTAATATAGTGCCGTCGACATTTTACATATTTTACATACAATTTGAATACAAATTCTTAAAATTTATAATAGAACATTAAAATAATCTTCTAATAAAATCAGCCTTAAGTATAAGGAATCTAAATTTCAGTATCTTGTACATTTCTAAATAAATATCTTTGATCTATAACCCTTGAAAATATTACCGTTTATGGTGACATGATAGAGACAAGTCAAACAGTATGAAAAGTGAAAATGAAACATCAATTTAAAAGAAGCAAGTGTAAAAACACGCTGAAGTGAAATGGTAGAAAATCGAAACACCAAGTGCACAGTAATTAAATATCCAGGATTGGGACAGCCAAATGCATGCGCAGTAACACATTTTCAACTTACATACAAAGCCCTTTAAAATTCACATAATCTAAATAAATAAGCAGAAACACAAAGGGAGGGACTGTGCCAGCCAGTAACAACTAGAAAGTAAGTTCTCCCTTTTTCTTTCAAATGATCCTAACAGAAAAACAGGAAACAATGATCACTTGCTAAAAAACTAGAATTCATGTTTGTTTTTTTGTTTTTGTTTTTAATGCTGCCTAATAGAGTCAAAGCAAGGCTTCCTAAATGTCAGACCACCACACCCTAGGTAAGGAAAGGTCCCTAACAGACAGGTTTAAGGGAAAATCAGACATCTGTCTACAGAAGGTTTGACTGAATTTTTATGTATGGACCTTACAACAGGACCTAGATCAAGCCCACGGTAAGAACAGACGCAAGCATCTGAATGCATGATCTGTGAGTACTGAATGCTACACGGTGATTTCGCTCACCGAAGTATTGGTTTACTCTGCATAAGATCAGGATTAAAACACCTACAGCAGGAACTGTATCTTACTTATGTTTCCATTCTGCTTCTCAGGATCTCAGAACATAATAGGTATAAGCGTTTGCTGAATCAAGTCCAGCATTTATCATTTGAGGAAGCTTTGAATCCTTGACGAAACTGTTGCCTGAGACTCAGGGGGCTTTTTATTTTGTCTCTAGGCCTGTGATTAATTTCTGGGTAGTTAATCAAGTTAATTGACACAGATATGTCACAGTTTCTCATTTCAGGTCAAGATTTCTATCATTTATCTATTCCACAGTTGAGCCTTCTTCAAAGATTTGTGCCTGCACATCATCATCAAGTTAAAAGAATAAAGATAATCTTTGCTATTCTATGTTGGGTATTTGCTTATGATGACTGCCTGAACCACTTGCGCACACACGCACACATGTGCACACACACACAATCATTTCGTAAGTGGAGAACACAACTGAAGTAATGCGCAATGCCTAAATTACACAGCTCCCAAGGTTAACTAAAAACAACACTGAAACTCTAAGGTAACTCCTTTTGATTACACACAAGCTGATTGCGTGATTGCGGACGGCAATTTCTATGAACCAACAGTGTAAACCAAAGTGTTCTTTAACCATTAGCTTGACAAGGCAGCTAAAAACTGTGTGGTTCCCAGACTACCCTGTTTAATTCTGCTCAGGGTACCTCATTACATTAGGAGGCAGTGAGGAGGAGATGGGTATGCTCTCCCAAGATCATTCCTTCCACCCACAATGCTTAGAGCGATATTGGCCTCATTATGTGGATGATTCTAACAGAGTTCCTCTGGATTGCCACTTAAAGTTGCTATTTCTGATGTCCTTGGTTTCTAACAGAGGGGAAGGGGGAATGTTACAGAACTCCTGAAATAAAAACCTTTGAGAAAGTTTCACATCTTTCATTCTCACTGCCAGCATGTCTGTCTCTGGAATGCTGCTAGGAGAGGTAGATCCAGTGTTTCAGTTCTGCCATTCCCTGCAGTAACTTAGTGTAATAGAAGTCCATGTTGTCTGCAAAGTCTGTACAAACAGGTGACTCCATGTCACCAAAAGTGCAGTATAAGGCAGTTCCTCCAACACTAATGAAAACCGTTGCTATGCACAGCAATATCAGCAAAATACAGGAGCCACCTCCAACTTCATCTGCAAACAGAACAGAGTGAGGACGCTGTCACCAAAATGGAAATCTCAGCATCTGCTGTCTTTTCACCAATTAAGATAACTAGACATTTCTAATGTTGGTCCTCTAGGGATTGAAGTATTGACAGAAAACTCAGGCTCCTAAAGACTCTACAAAGACCTACCTATTAATTGCCAAAAAGATTCATCGTTGTAGAGATTGTAAGTGCTACAATTAAAACTAGCTGAAGCTCATTTATACAATGAATAGAATCACTCCACGAAAAGAAGGAAAACAGCTGATGTGCTTATAGCATGCATTAATTAATTAACTAATTAATTAATTTTGGGGGTTTTTTTGTCTTTTTTTTTAGAGTCAGTGTCTGACTTTGTCACCCAGGCTGAAGTGCAGTGGCAAAACCTTGACTCACTGCAGCCTCGACCTCCTGGGCTCAAGTAGTCCTCCTGCCTCAGCCTCCTGAGCAGCTAGGACTACAGGCCTGTGCCATCACACCTGGCTATTTATTTTTTATCTTTTGGTAGAGATGGGGGGGTCTCACTATGCTGAAGAGGGTGGTCTTGAATTCCTGGCCCCAAGTAATCTTCACGTCTTGGCCTCTCAAAGTGCTAGGATTACAGGTGTGAGTCACCATGCCCACCCTAATAGCATTATTTTACAGTACACATTACAGCCTTGCTATTCCAATACCTCTGGAGTTCACATTATGGGACTACCTTAGAGCAAAGTCAACTTAATATTAAACAATAAAAGTCTTTGGGTGGGACTGCTTTTGCATCTTTCTACATTGAAGAAAACAATTATTATTTGGTTGAAAAAAATCTTAACAACTATTCATAATTATTATTTTTTTAATTAAAAAAGACCAAAAAGTCTTCTGATCTGCAGCATGATGAAGGTGCAGGGATGCCTTCTTGGAAGGTAATTTGGCAGTATCTCTTCAAATTTAAAATTAATTTATCCTCAGACTGCACAATTTTGAGAGTGAAAGACAGTGTTGACTGAAAGCAATTCTGGGACAACAAGTGCCAACCAGGACTGCCTCAGGCCAACTGGGACATACAGTTCCAACATATCCCAGCAAACTCACCTGTAAGAATCAGGTTACAGGTGTGCACAACAAACATCATATACACAAGCTTGTTCACTGCAGCAGAGTTTGTTATAACAAAAGATTGGGAATAACTTAGTTGTTCTAGTTACAATGGAACAGTCAAACAATAATGGCACGTTTATATAATGGAATATGATGTAAGTATTTAATAGAACGAAGTAAATTTAATGTTCTTTCATTGAAGGATATTTAAGACTCATGATTTTTTGCTTTATCAAACTGCCTGATTTTTTCATAATTAGCATATATTTTTATAAGAAACAAATTTTATAGAACCTAATACATACCAAATGCTTTATTTAGAACACTGTAAAGTAATACGTGAATATATTCTCCCTGCAAAAATGCAAACCCAAAAGCCTAAGGGACTATCTGTTTTTCTCCTGCCCAATCACATTCCCTTCCCACCCCAGAGGTAAACACTGTTAAATTTGGTGTGTGACCTTCTAGATCAAACATGTATGATTGTTTACTCTGAAATTTATATTTTAGAAGTTTTTTTTTTTTTTTTTGAGACAGAGTCTTGCTCTTGTTGCCCAGGCTGGAGTGCAATGGTACAATCTTGGCTCACTGCAACCTCTGCCTCCTGAGTTCAAGCAATTCTCTCACCTTAGCCTCCTGAGTAGCTGGGATTACAGACACCCACCATCATGCCCAGCTAATTTTTGTTTTGTTGTAGAGATGGGGTTTCACCATGTTGGCCAGGCTGGTCTTGAACTCCTGACCTCAGGTGATCCCGCTGCCTTGGCTTCCCAAAGTGCTGGGATTACAGGCATGAGCCACTGCACCTGGTCTAAAATAGTCTACACCTATATATGAAAATATATCTTTCATAATGAAGAAATAGGATATTATGCAGGCTGTATTTTTTTGTTTTGGACAGTCCAATGTTTTTGCCTACTTTTTTTTTTAGATAGGTTTGTGCTCTGTCACCAAACCACACTCACTGCAGCCTCAAGCTCCCGGGTTCAAGCAATCTTCCTACCTCAGCCTCCCAAGTAGCTGGGACCACAGGCACACACACCACCATGCCCTGCTAATTTTTGTATTTTTTGTAGAGAAGGGGTCTCGCCATGTTGCCCAGGCTGGTGTCCTTCTCCTGGCCTCAAGTGATCCAGGAGGAAAACTTGGGAGGAGGCTTCCCAAAGTGTTGGGATTACAGGTGTGAGCCACAGCATCCGGCCTTACATGCTTTTCTTTTTTTTTTTTTTTTTTTTGAGACGGAGTTTCGCTCTTGTTACCCAGTCTGGAGTGCAATGGCGCGATCTCGGCTCACCGCAGTCTCCGCCTCCTGGGTTCAGGCAATTCTCCTGCCTCAGCCTCCTGAGCAGCTGGGATTACAGGCACGCGCCACCGTGCCCAGCTAATTTTTTGTAATTTTAGTAGAGACGGGGTTTCACCATGTTGACCAAGATGGTCTCGATCTGTTGACCTCGTGATCCACCCGCCTTGGCCTCCCAAAGTGCTGGGATTACAGGCTTGAGCCACCGCGCCTGGCCACCTGCTTTTCTTAACATGATTCCTTCCCCTACCTTATCTATGTTAACAAGCTAAAGTATTTTTCTTCATTATCATATATTCAAATCCAAACATTTAAAAATAGCATAAATATTTTAAAACACTGATTCTGTTTGTTTTATCTACATGTACTAGAACTGTCTCAGTGCAGAGTCCAGTGTGAGCCGCAGGTGGCTGCTGGGCACTTAACATGCAGCTGGTCCAAACTGATGGTGACACACACAGATTTTGAAGACTCAGTGTGAAAAAAAAGGATGTAAAATATCTCGTTAGTGATATTTTCATATAGATCACATTTTGAAATGATATTTTTGATGTCCTGGGTTAAATAAAACATATTCTTAAAATTCTGACCAAGTGAGGTGGCTCATGCCTGTGATCCCAGCACTTTGGGAGGCTGAGGTGGGTGGATCACGTAAGGTCAGGAGTTTGAGACCAGTCTGGCCAACATGGTGAAACCCCGTCTCTACTAAAAATACAAAAATTAGCCAGACATGGTGGTGAATGCCTGTAATCCCAGCTACTCAGGAGGCTGAGACACAAGAATTGCTTGAACCCAGGAGGCAGAGGTTGTAGCAACCCAAGATTGCACCACTGCACTCAGCCTGGGTGACAGAGTGAGACTCCATCTCAAAATAAAATAAAGAATAAAATAAAATAAAATAAAATTCGCTTCACCTGTTTCCTTTCACTTTAACACGGCTACTGCAAAACTGAAAATCATGTATGTGCCTCACATTATATTCCAGTGGATAGCAATGGCTTAGAGGAGGAAGAACTGGCCCTTCTAGGAAGATTTTGGCAGAAGGTGAGGTTTTTGAAAACATCGTGTAAGCCACAGAGCTTAGGAACAAACCAACACAACCAACATTTACATTTAGGTTTATAACTCTCAAAATGAATTTATATACATTATCTGACATGCCTTCCAACAGGGACGGACGGGCTGATGCTATTCTCCTTATTTTAAAGATGATGGAACTGAGTCTCCTATAAGTTAAGTGACTTGGTTTAAGATGAGGTAGCTACAAAGTGAACTAGAGACTGTGAGTTCCAAATCCAGGGCTCCTGTCGAGCAATGACTTGGTCAAATGAGTGCAAACAGAAGTGAGCCCCTTATCTGGAGAAGACTGAGGTGCAGAAGTAAAACAGGGGTTAGAACATTATTTTATGGCCCCTTAACGAGCTTTTTAACTGTAAAAATGCAGAAACCTCTACTATTACCACTATGTCACACCTAGAAAGGATACCTACATACCTACCCTGTTGTTTTACAATGCAGTTGTTTTGTGAATATGAGAAGCCTACTGACAGGTCCTGGGTCGCCTTTCCCTTTACTCTTCTTACCTACACCTTAGATAAACATACCTGTAACCAAAAAGGCAGCACTGTTTGCTACAAACTTCACCACCTCATGCTAGACCAAATCAGAGCCTTAAGTATAATAGGCCCAGGAGAAAAAGGTCAAACAATAAAAATGGTGTTAAATTGTTGCTCTTGAGAGAGACTCTTTTCTATAGAATGAAGAGGAAATCAACAAAGACAATATTCACAAATATTTTCCACAATAAAGGAGGAGTATTAATTGTCTACTGAAAAGCAGACAAGCCAGTCATGGTGGCTCATGCCTGTAATCCCACTTTGGGAGGCCGTGGTGGGCGGATCACTTGAGGCCAGGAGTTTGAGACCAGCCTGGCCAATATAGAGAAACTCCCTCCCTACTAAAAATACAAAAAACTAGCCGGGCGTGGTGGTACTCGCCTGTAATCCCAGCTACTCAGGATGCTGAGGCACTAAAATTGCTCGAACCTGGGAGGCAGAGATTGCAGTGAGCCAAGATCGTGCCACTGCACTCCAGCCTGGGCGACAGAGCAAGGGAGGCAGAGATTGCAGTGAGTCAAGATCGCGCCACTGCGCTACAGCCTGGGCGACAGAGCAAGGGAGGCAGAGATTGCAGTGAGCCAAGATCGCGCCACTGCGCTACAGCCTGGGCGACAGAGCAAGGGAGGCAGAGATTGCAGCGAGCCAAGATCGCGCCACTGCGCTCCAGCCTGGGCGACAGAGCAAGGGAGGCAGAGATTGCAGTGAGTCAAGATCGCGCCACTGCACTACAGCCTGGGCGACAGAGCAAGGCTGTCTTAAAAAAAAAAGACAAAAATAGCAAACTTACACAAAAAGTGCTAAAGAAGGAAACTGAAATAAGCTCTCAACATTGACTATCTATGGAATAGGGAGGCCACAGGTTGAATTCTGCAACTTGATCACTTATTCAAGCACGTAAAGATTCAGAAATGATTTAGACGGCAGTTTGATTTTGTAACTTTCTCCCTTAGAAGGTAAAGCAACTAAGTTGCCATATTCTTTTATTTATTTATATTTATTTTTTGAGACGGAGTCTCACTCTGTCGCCCAGGCTGAAGTGCCATGGCACGATCTCGGCTCACTGCAACCTTCGCCTTCTGGGTTCAAGTGATTGTTCTGCTTCAGTCTCCTGGGTTCAAGTGATTGTTCTGCTTCAGTCTCCTGGGTAGCTGGGACCAGAGGAGCGAACCACCACACTCGCTAATTTTGTATTTTTAGTCAAGATAGGGTTTCATCATGTTGGCCAGGCTGGTCTCGAACTCCTGACCTCAAGTGATCTGACTGCCTCAGCCTCCTACAGTGCTGGGATTACAGGCGTGAGCCACTGTGCCTGGCTGACATATTCTCTTACAAATCCTGTTAGTAACATCACGTTATACACTAACTCATCCTTTCAGCCAACAGTGCCAAGCAGTTTACCTTGATCCAAGTTATCGTCTATTTCTTGGAACCTCACTCTTCGCTTAGATGGTTTCTGCTGCATTTGGGCAGGGTGATCTCCTACAGAATCATTCCTCTTCTTTAATATTGAGACCAATCCTTCAGCGGGAACAACCTGTCAGAAATGATAAGAATCATTCGTTCTATTAAAGCGGGACATCTCAATGATATTCTACAAGCAGCTATAAAAAGGCTGCTTCAACAGATATTTGAATTTTTATAGGAGTACCCAATTCCTATAGAAAAAAATAACCATCATCAAAATCAAACAGAATAAACCTTGCACTTCTGTGTGCAGATGACTGAGAAACACAAAAGTCTAAAACCCTGATTTCTTTTGTCAAGCCCTGAACTGACTCCGGGGACAGGCAGTGTGACGCGTTTGGCCGACTGGAGATCAGAACCGTCGGCTGATGTGCTTTGTAGCTTAACTTCCGTTATTGGTAAAATGGCCACTGACAGTCCCCTCTTTGCTGAGTCATTAGGACTGGATTTTGCTTTACAATGGATGCTTATAATCCAATCCACCACTGCTTTTCCATTCATCAGCAATTTTAAACAAATGAACATATGAAACTTAAAATATATCTGGATACCAAGCTTTTAACATCAAAGTGTTGTCCTCAGTTTCTCCAAGAAACTGTGCATTTACTAAATAATGCTCTACTGCTCAAAATATTTTAAGGACTTCTAGAATTTCTCTCAGAGCCAGTTTACTAGGGACATATTACTTTCTAGTATGCAGAAGTTGGCAAACAATAACCCGCAGGTCAAACGCCTGTGCTGCCTCATTTTGTGAATAAAATGCAATGGGAACACAGCCAAGCCCATTCATTTACATACTGTACGTGGCTGCTCTGGGGTTATGCTGGCACTGTGTGGTTGTAAGAGATCATAAAGCTTAACATGTTAATAACTCAGCGTTTCATGGAAAAAGTCTCCTGTCTAATATATCTTCAGACACCCCCTCCGTTTATATGTTGCCTTCTAGCTTTCACTTGGGCTGCCTCTCTCCTGCCTATGCTCCACCCTTCATTCACAAACAAAACCAAAACCCTCACCATTTAAGAGCTAAAAGACACCAAGGCGTAGGGAGAAAGGAGAGGATCAGGTGGAAGAGCCAGGCTGGGGAGCCAAAGGCCCCTGAACAGAAGGGCCAGGCGCAGAAGTTACTTGCTAGTTGCCTGACTGCTACAAGCTGTAGGTGATGACATAGGCAGGCACTATGCGCCTAACACTGAGGATGTCAGTAACTTGCTGGTATCATGTAACTCTAAGCTAATGACTGCCTGCAATGTCATTTATCTAATCAATAGCATAAAACACTAAACATGATTTGCAGTTCCAGTCAGCAATCTCTGATAATGTACTATACATAAATATTACAGATTCTATTAGTTCTTTTTATATCTTAGTACTTTTAGGGCCAAATAACTCAAGATGGTCTTCAACTATGCTTCCCTGAATGCGGGTCTATAGAAACCATTATCTCGGGAAAAAAAAATCAATAAGCCAACAATATAGTCTTTTCTTTTTATAGAAAATATGTATTTCAGAAGTCCTTGTTCTGAGAAACAAAAGTACTTTAGTAGGCTTGAAACGGAAAGCACAAATATGTAAAGAAAGCAATATCATCATTAAAGAACTCCTTCACACAACAAAGAAAATACATTTTCCAAGCTCCTTGCTGAAACGGAGAGGGAAAGCAGTATTAGTAAGTTTCCAAAGAGCAAAAGATGGAAAACAGAAATTAATGTTAACGAATACATTACTACTATAGATGCATCATTGATATTCTTTTAATTTCTAGTACATGTAAAAAAGGAGAGAATTTTGAATCTGGCTGTTCTAAAATTTTTTCAAAAATTTAAAAAGGGGGAGGAAGAGGTTTATTGATTCCTTCATTGTCTGTTTCCTCCATAAAATTGTCATCCACTTACCAATGGTGAATTCACCCACCGTGGGGGTTTTCAAGGTGCCGTTATAACTACTCAGAAAAGCATCCTATTAAGAATAGTTTTAAAGATGAGCCCCAGAGTTGTGTTACTGTTAATTGTGTATCTTTGTAAGAATTCTGCATCTGGCCGGGCACAGTGGCTCACACCTGTGATCCCAGCACTTTGGGAGGCCAAGGAGGGAGGATCACCTGAAGTCGGGAGTTTGAGACCAGCCTGACCAACACGGAGAAACTCCATCTCTACTAAAAATACAAAAAATTAGCGTGGTGGCGCATGTCTGTGATCCCAGCTAGCACCACTGCACTCCAGCCCGGGCAACAAGAGCAAAACTCCATCTCAAAAAAAAAAGAACTCTGCATCTATGAATTCAAGAAACGGATACAAGCCATAAATCAAAAGACACTGCAAATCTGAACACACATGTTGACAGATGAAGAGAAGCTCCTGAAGTCACGTGGAAAGGCCCAGAATGCGCCACTCCAACCTAGAGCTGGTCCTGGAGCAGCGGCTGTGAGGTCCCACCTTGGCTCCTACTGTTTGGCTCTGGAAGTCATGCTGCTAAGGGAGCTGAGCCTTGTCATGTAGCCCCACCCTATTTATTATGGGTGGCAATGAACTTAGGCAACTTTTTCCAAACCCATGGGAGAAGCAGAGTATGAGAAATTACAATTGTGTGGGATGGGCTAACATTTTGACACCCCCTCCGTCACAAGACCTTAATTGTTGCTAAAAATCTAACCATGCCTTTTTTTTTTCCTGCCACTAAAACCCTTTTGTTTCAGCAGGGCCTGCCCCAGTGTCTGAAGTGAAGGAGTATGCTCTCTTCCATTATTTCCTTTCAGTCTTGCTCAGTGATCTTCTCCAGATCTTTCTGTCGTAACTGTCTTCTGGTTCTACAGCCTACAGATGGAGAACAAGGGACAGCGGGGCCAAGCTTAGGCATAGGAGATACAGGCCAAGGAGAAACTCTTAGGTGGGCGTGGCAGACAGAGGCTATCCTTCCAATTTCTGCAAGAGTTTTGGGCACAGGTCAGACCTAAAAACATAGAATTTTTTCTTGCCATATCAGGGCAGTCCAACATAAAAACCTTAAGAAACAAGTTTGGTGGGGTTTGCCTTCATTTCATGCTTGATGGGCAAGTAAGACAAAATGAAGTCATGGTCTTGGTTTGGGGTCTCACTCAAGATGACTGACAAGGGTTTCTGAAATAGATCGGGCTGCTGACTTAGGGCACAGAGTAATACATTCCCTCCAAACGATTATTTTGTTTTGTTTTTGTTTGTTGGAGACAGGGTCTTGCACCCGTGCCCAAGCTGGAGTGCAGTGGCATGGTGACAGCTCACCGCAGCCTCAAGCGATCCTCCTACCTCAGCTTCCTGTAGCTGGGACTATAGGCACACACCACGCCTGGCTAATTTTTTTGGTATTTTCTTGTAGAGACAGGGTTTTGCCATTTTGCCCAAGCTGGTCTCAAACTCCTGGGATCAAGCAATCCACCTGCCTCAGCCTCCCAAAGTGCCAGGATTACAGGTGTGGGACCTGAACTGTTCTTAAAAATATTTCCATATATTTTTAAAGCTATACTGTCAGTATTAAAAGGTGAAGAATTTTTAAATCTCAAAAAAGAAAGCTTTAAAACGAAATTTAGTTTCCCACTTCGATTGCCAAATTCTTACCCAAACAAATATACCAAGCACTTCTATTGAGACCAAAAAGAATGTCTGAGCTATAATTAATGTAATTGCTACTGCTGGTACTCTATGAATAAATGCAGAATTCAAAAAACTCCATCTGGCCTAGTCTTCTGTATTTGCAAATAAATAGTTCTTCCCACACTTCCCCTCAAATATCAGTGAACATCTAAAATAGCATTTTCAGAATAAACTAGTTGTGAAAACAAAATTATCCTGCAACTCTTCTGGAATAGAAAATCCTAATGTGACAAGGAAAACATCCCGAGACTCACTGCTGTTGGAAGTGCCTCCTCACCAAATTAAAGAAAAAGTAGATACTAAACAGCATTCTTTTTCTTTTTCTTTTTTTTTTTTTTGAGACGGAGTTTCACTGTTGTTACCCAGGCTGGAGTGCAATGGTGCGATCTCGGCTCACCGCAACCTCCGCCTCCTGGCATCAGGCAATTCTCCTGCCTCAGCCTCCCAAGTAGCTGGGATTACAGGCGCGCGCCACCGTGCCCAGCTAATTTTTGTATTTTTAGTAGAGATAGGATTTCACCTTGTTGACCAGGATGGTCTCGATCTCTTGACCTCGTGATCCACCCGCCTCGGCCTCCCCAAGTGCTGGAATTATAGTGTAAGTTCTGCGCCGGCCAAATAGCATTCTTTTAATGATAAAGGTTTTACTCAACTTGGAATCTCTACGATGGTGAATTCTGGACAAGAACACACAGTTGGCTTCCAACTGATTAGAGAATTAACATTTATAAATCCTATTATTACAGTATATCATAAATACCTCAAGTGCCAGCAATTTCATGTAGTGGCACATGTCAAATTTACCGCCACTATTCCTAACTAAAGAAACAGGAGATATTCCCTGCCTACTCTCTTAGCGTTGGGTTCCATAATAAGAATAATTTAGTAAATGTGTATGTTTTATGTAAAGACACTTACATAATATATCATATTTAAATTTCACAACTCTCTTTTAGTTCCTTAATTTTTCTGTTTTTTTTTTGAGACAGTCTTACTCTGTCGCCCAGGCTGGAGTGCAGTGGTGCAATCTCGACTCACTGCAACCTCTGCCTCCCAGGTTCAAGTGATTCTCCTGCCTCAGCCTCCTAAGTAGCTAGGATTACAGGCACCTGCCACGACATCCGGCTAATTTTTATATTTTAAATAGAAATGGGCTTTCACTATGTTGCCTAGGCTGGTCTTGAACTCCTAACTTCGTGATCCACCTGCCTTGGCCTCCCAAAGTGCTGGGATTACAGGCGTGAGCCACTGCGTCTGGCCAAGATGTTATTTTCTGTGACTATTAAAATTTTGCTCTATGCCATATGTTATAATATATATTTCGATTAAAACAAGATTAACAGAACTTTCAAATAAGACTTTAGCAAAAATGCGTAACTTACACATCACCTCATTTAAGAGATACTTAAAGGCCAAATTTGTCTATCTAGAGATGTGGAAGAGG